CAGTATTGCATTTTAAGGTTATAGATGAAATCGTTAGTTACGAGCTTACGTTTCCTCTCTCGCCTATGGACGTTGAAGTTTGAATTTCCATTGATTATAATAAATACTCCTTCACAATATTTTTTTTCCCAAGACAACTTCCACTTGCAATAACAATAAGTTATATGGAAAATTCCCCTGCGTCAGCCAAATTTCACGAGCTACGAACTCGCCAATCGCTGACATTTTATATTACTTCTCTGACTTGTTCACAAACAAATGGGAGGTTAGGCTACTAATTATTTTTCATTTTAATTTCCTAATTAATTCAAAAGTAAATATGGAATTTAACTCAAAATTTGAAATTTAAATATCTACTTAAATTAAAATGGTCCTCAAAAAGATGAACATGGCTCTTTAATGAAATATCTTCGGTACGATAGAATGACTATAAACCATTTTTCACTAACAAAATTACCAAAAAAACTTTATCAAAAAATTTAAGGTTAATAGAACGTCAACACAAAATATGACAATAATACCTCGATCGTGACGTCACTGTCGCGTAATAAAACTCCGATTCTCGCAGTGGGTGGTCGACACGTAATACGTAGTCAACCTTCGGTTCGTAGACTAAACAATATCCGGGCCTCTCGCAGAATACCAATGCCTTTTTCGTAGCAATATTTCAATGGAGTGGTCAGGTAGGTACTGAAGTAATGTTTCCAATACATATTTTATTTCCCATCTCCGAGTTATTTTTCAACTGAGCATTCCGCTATCTCTTTTCTGCCAGGCCATTTGAGTTGGGATAATTAGGACTCCTGTATGACTTTATAATAGGTAATGATCTGTTTATATGTAAAAGCGGCACAATACCAACTTTCTTGAACTCTCTTAGTCAAACTGTAATAGATATAACAATATGCTCAATATTAACATCAAATTCAATCCGAAATTGGCGCGTATCTGATGAAGTTTCTATGTCGGATCACAGATGGATACCTAACTAACTAAACTGCTCGCCCAAGGCCACAAGACCTTACCGAGATCCTAAAAAAACCAATATTGCACAGTACGTACAAGATCTGGAAAGGGCTCTACGAGAGATTGCAGGTAAAACACACAATGATGACCAAGAATTGGAGCGGTATGCCAATACCATCCAAGGTGCCATCATAAAATCCTATAAGATGTCGAGCCCATTGCGGATGTTTCAAAACTCTGATAACACCTCTGCTTGGTGGTATCAGGAACTGGAACACCTCAGGGCGACGACAAGAAAAGCTTTCAATAAAGCTAAAAACACCAAGCTAAACGTGAGGACTGGAACAGGTACCAACTCAACCAGCATACAGTACGACAAAAACAAAGAGATGCCTGGAAGACATACCGCAACGAAATGTAAAACTATACGGAAGCGGCGAGACTTCAGAAAGCTTTTTATATAGACCCATTCCGAAAAATTGGTATCCTATGCAATGAGCATGGCACCTTCACTGCCAACCTTCAAGAAAGCACAAAGTTACTACTAGCCACCCACTTTCCTGACTCCACAACTACCGTTGTGGAGGATCAGACGCAGGTAACATACTTACCTGCTTTGGCTGATTGGCGATTAGCGAATCAGATAATATGCAAGGAAAAAATATATTGGACGATCTCAGGCTTCTCCGCCTTCAAAGCACCAGGACCTGACGGCAAAGAGAACACCATTCCCAAAGCATATCGCCCCATAAGCCTCCCATCATTTTCTCTAAAAACTCGCCATTCGCTAACAGAAAGGAATACTCCGGAAACTGTTACCGGATGGATATTGAATATGCTTTCAAAAAGAATTGTACAAATAAGTGTGTAGGACGTCAACATTAAAGGAACGGTCACAAGAGGCTGCCCGCACGGAGGTGTGCTACCACCTCTCCTGTGGAACATGGTTCTGGATAGCCTCATTGTCTGCCTAAACAATGACAACCACTACACAATAGCTTACGCAGATGACATAATTATAGGCAGATGGTGCACGTAATACACTCTTTCCATCAACCCCAAAAAGACGGAAATGGTCATATTCACAAAAAAGAGGAAACTGGTACTTCCGACAGCACCCAGACTTTTAACCACCGAACCAAGTTCTGCCACTGAGGTCAAATATCTGGGACTGACACTCGATTGCAAATTAACATGGAACTCTCATATACTCTCATATACTAGAAGTAATTCTATGTTTGACGCCCCTGGATACTTATGTCAAGAAGGTCATTTTAACCACAATGATGCGCTCTCGCACTATTGGAATAGAAGCAAGTGCAGAAGTCGGTTTGCAGAAAACTCGCATATTGTGGGAGGCCAAAGTGGACTCTGCAACACCATGTTTCGTCAGAACTAGTACAACATTACTACCGTCACACAGGCGTCGATCAACAATACGGTGGTAGTCAGCTGGATCAAAGTACATGATCACAGCAAAGGCAATCGGGCTGCCGACGCTCTAGCTAGGAGGGCCGCCAGGCTACAGCCTTCTGGATCGGAGCCCTTCGTAAGGCTGACCATGTCGTTGATCAGGAAAAGGCTACGCCTAATAACGGGAATCTTGACTGGCCACTGTCAGTTAAACACACATTTGTTAAGGTTGCATCTCAGTACCACACCCTTGTGTAGGGCTTGTAATCAAGAAGACGAGACGATAGAGCACATTCTCTTTGACTGCACTGTTCTTTTGCCAATACGCAGAGCCACATTAGGCCAATCGTACCCATCACTAGAAGAGATCAGAGGCACCGCCCTCGGTGACGTCATCGCCTACGTTGAATCGCTAGGCTGGATAACGAGCTAATGATGACTTCTCCTCTTGTGGAGGCGCACTATGGGCCTAATGTGACCTAAGTGCTGTGGCATACGTCCCTCCCAAACTCACAGATAAGACTCCTTGTTATAATTTTAATTTCGCCAAAGGAGCGAATTGCTGCATTAGAAAATCTCCAAAAGGAATAGTAAAAATTTTAATTCTACGATCACTTCACGAACTGACGTAGATATTTCTAGTGAACAAGATTTTCAGCCAGTGTGAAAGACGAAAATAGAACCAACGTTACCGATGTTAAACGCTCACCTCACAAGCATTGCTTGTTCCGTCAAAGTACGATTGAAACTCATCGATTAATACCGAAATTTGCAACAACAAGAAAAAATGCGTAATAACTAAAAATCTACTTCGATAGGCTTAAATGTATCCACTCAGAACTAATCACCAAGAACTTCAAGATATGCATATTATTGTAACAAGTGATAAATTATACCAGATTTGCAACATAGACAAATATTGTACGACAATAAATAAATAAATATCTTTATTTGTCTGGCCGAAATCGGCGGTTCTAGAGTCGTATATATCTAATAAGATACGTCGAAACTTGTCGGTATCTACCGATCAAAACGGGTACCTACCGATTTTCCACCTTGAATCATTTGATAAGCCGTTAAACAAATGCCCATTAACATTAGTGGTTTCGCGATAAACCTATGCGGTTCTCGTAAAATTATTCGTCATCCGTCAGATGTTTTTGAAAAAAACTTTACACTACTTTTTTAAGTGTTTAGTGTTTAGTTCCTTCTTGGAATTACCAGGCTTTCGTCTGGAAATTAATCATCTCTACAGTTGAAAAAAGAACAGAGCTATTTCACTTAATTGCGTTTTGTCTAGAAAAGTATTTTTTAATCTAAGAATTACCAATGCAGTATCAGAAACAGAACAATTATTGTTTTCCATTTATTATAGATGTCTAATCATTTTTTATTTTATTTGCCTCTCGCATAAAAATTTACACGGTGGTGAATTAGTCATAATTAAACTTCGCCGCGGCGCAGGTTCTTAGTCCCTTCCAAAAATACGGAGTTGACTCAAATAATGTTAATTTTCGACACACGCGCCACCTAATGTAACTTGTGTGGACCTAGCTAGTTAAGGTGTTTCGGGTCCACCGCCTGAGTTTGCCTTATGTTGTAATTTGGGGCACCGGATGTTCAGTACTCAGTAGAATTTTGTGTGCGAAATTTGATAAGTCGAACTAATGAAACGTTGGATTTTTTAAAGTGTAATAGTTATACAGTGACGTGAATCGGAAGACGAGTGCAAAGGATATGAAAAATTGTGTTTACTACAAAATACGACTGTACAGAGGTACGATACACAAAAAAGAAAGAAAATATTTAGGAAATCATTTTGTTTTTCGTTGAAAAAAAACAATATATATAAAAAAAATTATTGCATGTGGAGGTGTAAACATTTATCTTGCTCTTCCAAATGTGAATAACTTCTAAATTAATCAAAGAAGGGCTCTGGAACAATTTCTTAATGAGGAAGTAGTTGCGCGGGTGTTATAAGATTTTGAAAGGTAGGCTCAAAATCAGTAAATGACAATATGAGCAGCTCTGATCTAGAAAAATCGGATATTCCGAAGGCGAATACTTAAGTTTTTTCCTGAAAATAGAACAATTAATAAAACACAAGAAGAAGCAATGCAAAAGTCCTTTGAACAATTTTCCCTGTATGAGAAACAAGCTGTGCAGGCACTAGTAGATTTGAAAAATGCAGGCAGGAGGAGGAATAAAAAACCCATTCATTTTGTTGCCATAACGCAATATGAAATAGAAGCTGCGCTAATATTATTAAATATGAAATTACGCCACTCTAGCTCAGTAGGCAACGACCGAGCAGCTGAAAAAGAACGAGCAGCCAAAAGGGAACGAGCTGCTAAAAGTACAAAAGTTGAAAACAAATTTATTTTTAAGACTTCTAATGTACCGTCGGATCAGCTGGTTTGGGGAGCTAGCCAACCAGATGATGCAGCACAAAAAAAATCAGTCCAAGATGGATTGGATTTAAGCGCTCCCAATAGAACGCAATACGCAGGTACATTCCGCTCAAGTCCAGTGATAAATGAAGAAATAGCTAAAAAGGAATCAGCAGGTGAAAGTGAGAAATTCAAAAAGGGATATACCTGTAGGCCTCCCGGTGATTCATTGGATAAGCTATTTTGAAAACCTAGCAAAACAAATAGAGTACAGAATTTATCAGTGCTCAAATTATCATATAAAATCTATCAAAAATTATCTAAGGATGAGAAAATAGCTGTGGAGGCATTATTAAAACTTAATAGACTCCCTTTATCGAAGTGATTCTCTATGCATCATGTCGGTGGTCGATTTCACCAATCAAAAAATATAAAATTTAAAATTAGTAGAACAATACAAGGAAACGTTCAATCGTCAAGTGGGTTCTTTTTTCTGTGGCGCTATTAAACTATTCGTATTTCTTTAAGTAAAAAGGTAAAAATTTCTGGAATGCATAGTTTCTGCGATAAGTGGCGGAAAAGATTTTATGACACCTACCAGAAATTTTGGATAAACTGATAAACTACTGTATAATAAGTGTTAGGGTATTATCAAAGTCTAAGCTATGATGATGCTGTGTTACAATGGTTTATATGGTCATCGAATGGAGCTACTAGACAGGTCGGCATCCAAAACCTTTATGGTAAGTATGATCAACATTTTTGTAATGGAAAATCTGAATTTCTTTGTAGTAAAATTAGGTGCAATTTAGGTGCTAGTCATGGCTACAAGACAAAAATTTAGTGCAAAATTGGTTTTCTCAGAAATGGAATAAACCAAAGCGAACGCTATAACTTATTGTTAAACTAACCCAAACTATACTCTGCTTTATAATATATCATAATATGCTTTTGCCATTTTATTTTAATCCTGAGAAAAAAATCTTATCACAAGTAGACATCACGTAGTTGTCCTGACAGTATTCATGCTAGCATCCATCCTGAAACAATCTCCTATATCACGGACATATCAAACTTCTCAATTACAAAAATAAATTATTATCAAAATAATGCATAATAAACATTTTTTTCGAGCGGCTTTGAAGTCAATGTGAGCCATCCATAATATTCTATTACAACGAGACACGTTTAGAACCGTCGAATGTTTTTGTTGTTGAGAAGTCTGAGAGTCAAGGATCGCGACAACAAACCAACGGTTTGTTTCTGTTTTCTTGGAACTCGTATCTTTAAAATTAGCTTATACTGCGTCTATAAGAAAGTGATATAACCAAAAAAATATAATGGAAAGTCAAATGTAAAAGTTTTCTTTTAGGTTCTTGATGACAAATACAAATTAATGACTTAATTTTTTATATCAAATTATTAGTGGGTTTTGGTAATGCAGATTTATTCATCAGTGTACCTATATATGTATTGACAAGAGAGGTTCTCAGGAACCAAGAAATAAAATTAAATATTTACTGTTTGGTATACTGATGAATTATAATAAATAATAAGTCTATATTTACCAGGGTATTCCGCGCTCCCTTGCCTATTTGACTTAGATTGCAGTGTCAGCTTGTATCATGACCATAATTAGTAATTTTGCCTCTTCGACAACTAGCTAATGTCCTCCTAAAATAAGTTAAGGCTTCTCCGGATACTCAATTGCCGCTAAACAGTTGGTATCTTAACAAAATGGGCATTGGCGTGTTTGTTCTACTCCCCCTTACCTATTTGCGTCAATCGAGTCACAAGTAAGACCCTTTTCGTTCTAAATACGGAAGTCCCAGGAAAAACTGAACACATCAATTTTTTTTTTTTTTTTTTTTCCATTTTTATTTGTAGAAATTGCTAGAGCACGTCGAAAGATTCTGTCCGGGGGGCAACTTTTGCGCGAGAGCCATCCGATAAAAAAAATCAAATTGAAAAGGGGGTGGAGTCGAAATTAAATTCATCATTTTCACGGTTATTTTTGCTTTTGTCCACCGCTCACTGACGAGGGTTGGATAAATAATTTTCGAAAAAACGCAAGTTTGTAAGTCTAGGGGGGCATATCACGCCGAAGACTAAACGTGCATAAGATTTGCTCCTAAAAAAATCCTAAATATCGCATTTCGGGAAATACGTGCAGACGGAGCTTACAGCTGATTACAGTCGCACCTGGAACAAGGGTTAAGGCAATGCTCCCAGTAAATTTTTTGTTAGCTTTACTTACATATTTTCAATGTTTACTCAAAACTCTTCAAAGACATTTACCTATATTACGCATTTTTCAACCCGTAGACGTAGACATAGGTACAATTTATTGGATTTGGTAGAATCAAGTAAAATGTTTGACCTCCGCCGGACGTTTTTTACGATCGACATGCCTACGCCTCTGTAGTTTTTTTTCTATTTAAATACTGTTTCATTGAAACTTTTAATGAAAACCAAATGATTTTTTTATTAAAATTAGTTTTAACTAAGATCCTTGATTTATTCACATGTTTTTTTTACAAAGCATCTACCCGAGTAGAAAACGGGGGGGTCGGTCGCTAACCTCCTCTTTTCCATGTTCGATGAGTACCAATGCGACTCCTATATTAATTCCACCAAATCTCTAATAATCCAAAGAAACACTCAGTATTGTAACTTGTCTAATATAAAACGAAGGGAATTTTTTTTCCCTGTGCATTTGGGATTAATGCTATATTTGCAAGGGACAGGGACCCTTTTTGAAAAGTACTCACTGGGGAGTACTTTTCACATTTCTTTGGGAAATACTGCTATATTTTCCGAAAATCAAGAAATATTTTAGTATTGTTACTAGTACGCGTTTGTTTTATTCGATGTCGAACACTATAGGTACAAGGTGATTCCAAAATGGTGTATTAGCGCTCTACTACGTCGTAGAGGACCCCAGTAAAATAAGTAAAAAACCCTCCTCGGCCAATATTGGTGATAGGAAGGATTAATGATTGAGAAGTCAACTTCTTTATATCCTATTTTTTTTTCAGAGCTACGATATCCCCCATAAAGTTCCAGGTGTCTTTTAGTATGGATTTTTTTTTTAATGAATTTTCCAAGCTGTAAAATCTCTACCTCTAAATCCAAAAAATGACTCTGGCAACGTTACTTTATTTTTTACGGGTTTTGATACAGTGACAGATATGTCAACATATACATATATAGTATGTATATGGCGATTACCTGCTAAGATATTAATTAGATAGGCAGTACCGGTTAAGGTAATAAAATTAGGACCAGGCACAAGGTTCATTATTTAGAACAGAGGTATAATCGTCATAGGTGAAAGCATTTAATTTTACCACTGCGTGCTCTTCTAATAATTTTGTTGAGAGTAACTTTATATTATTTTTGTTTGAACTCTCCATAAAACCTATGTTTGTTAGTTTTAAAATCGCATCTCATTTTGTTCATTTTCTGTTTTATGTATCATGGAAACAACAATTGTTATTATTATTGTCAATTTAGTCAAAAAAATAAAAAGCATAAAAAATCATCTTCTCAAAACAAATTCTTTAGCAATTCAAAAATCATACAAATACGTATTAGAAACGCCTAAAGTACAACATTTTGGTCCTACGAGTTCCGAATGCAATTTTAAAAGAATTAAGGTTACTAGAATTCACGCCAAATAAACAGTCCAGAAGATTTATCGAAGATTTAAGAAAAATAAATTCAAACTCAAAACTCCTTCGTTTTATCAGTACAAATAGCAGAAAACTATGCTGTTAGTACATCATTCAAGAAAATAATCTGAAATCAGGAATTTCAGCCGATTTCCTTGTCAAAAAAGGAATAAGGTACGCTTTGAAGGTACGTGTCCTCCAGCAGTTTACCGTTACCAGTCTACCTGAATTAATTTGGAAAGGACCCCGCACCAAACTTATGGAAAAGTGGTTCCGGTCAAATCCAATTAAATTTTAGTATGATATAGTTCATAGCCTCCTGATCAAATTTCATCATTGCCACAAAAAAATCGGTCGAGCAGTTTTCGAGTTATAGCCTTTTCAAGGTGGCGGGTTGCGGATCAAGGTAAAATTATTATAGATTATGGATTTTCATATTTAAGTTATATTTTTTATAAGGGATACGTAACGAAGATGGTTAATTGGGGCAAAGTGGCGCATTTATATCTGGTCAACAATGTACTTTCTTCCGAGTTTGATTTCCGTCGTAGATCGGAATTACCAATGAAATCAATTTAATAAATCAATTTCCAATTTCATATCGTGAATTGGAAGGAATTATAATTTACGACGGCTATTGAGCCCCAACAAAAGTACCTCTAGGACTTACTGGCCGCGAAAGGCTCAATAATTTTATTCAACAATATACTATTATAACATTCTGAGAAGCTCTGGAAATACCTGGAGAGACCCAGAATTTTCAAAAATATATATTTAGAATTACTTTGAAAGAGATGGTATGGCCACTTCTTTCCCTATAAAAAAAAAGTACATGATTGTGCTCTCAGATTTGCTATCCGACGTTTCGTCTTTTGGCTACCACCTCAACTTTATTTTTTCTTATCGGTGGCATATAAATACTAAATACATATTATTATTACTTATTAGGGTTTTGAGTAGCACATTTAGTTACCTTTTTTATGTTTTATCACATTTGCGTTCTTAGTAGGAATTTCAGGTAGGTATAACATTCTTCTAGAAGTACCAGAAGTACTTGTATGAAATACAAGTATGCAATTTATTTGAAAATTAAAAAAACAATTGTAAAATAAAGCCAGGAAAAAAAAATCGATTTTTAAAAATTCCGATATTTTTTGGATATCTCCGTAACTTGACGGATTTTTAAAATATTTATAACCGGCAATTGTTGGCCACATTAAAGCACTACTTTGCCCTGATGTGAGAATCTTTGTATCTCTCATAGTTATAAAATGAACCCAATGGTGGGGATCGAGTTTGCAAATCACAAACTAACATGTTTATAACATAAATTATATTCGAGTCAAATATTTTTAACAGATCCTATAATATTTTCTGGTTCTTATTGTTAAGTTTTATTATGCTTGTATCAGTGTAAAATAAAAATACATATACTTATAACTTTCATATACAAACTTGATCAAACCTGCTGATCTTTATTGAAAAATTACGAGTTTTTCCACTCGTTTTTAAAAATGCTCTAGATGGCTTGACTTGAAAAAAAGAATGCAATTTGGTAGGCATACCAATGATAATATCATCCAAATATTTTAAAATGCACGGTTCCAGTTCTGCATCAAAAAGATTATCTACTAAACCTTGGAAAGTTGCAGGAGCATTATGAAGACCAAATGGCATCCTGACGAACTGAAAAAAACCCTTGGACGGCACAGTGGATACTGTATATTGGCGAGAAGAAGGTTCAAGTTCAATCTGCCAATAAGCACTTTGAATATCCAACGAAGAGAAATATTTGGCACCTCCCAGCTTACCTAATATTTCAGAAATGTATGGTAATGGGTACGCATCGCGTCCACTAACACGGTCTTACGAAAATCAACACAAAATCTCCAAGTTTTGTCTTTTTCAGGTACTACCAATACTGGTGAAGAACAAGTATTTGTGGACTTCTCAACAACTCCCAATTCAATAATTTCATCAAGTTCTGCATTAATGATCTCTATATATGTATGTTTATTTCAAAATTATACAAGCATAATAAACCTTAACAATAGGAACCAGAAAATATT